TGGTACAAGTCCGTGGTCCTCCACTAGACTTGAGGAGTAAGAAGTACAGGTATATTTCCTCTCATCCTTCATCCTGAAGGAACTGTATGACAAATTATTTTATATAAATTAGGCGTTTAGAAAAAAAGGCGGGACGGGGAATTGTTTCTCTGCTAGTTACAGTTTGAGTAGATGCTTATACAATATTGTCTTGCATTCTAATGTTTTGAGGTGAGCTAGAAAATACTGCTTCAAAAACTACTTTTATCTGGAAAAGTTGACTTACAGAAGATGGAAATATACAGGTAAGTTCCCGTTCTGGTTCATTTTCACCAAAGAACAATTAAAATACAGTATTCTGTACAGAGATTCAGAAAGCAAGGGAACCTGCTGTTTTTACACTGAATTATCCGTATCTGTATACAATACTCTTAATTTATGCCAAAGCAAATTCTTGTATGAAATTAGCTGGTGTACAAGATGCACTGGAAAAAAAGATTGAGTTATTTTACAGAAGGCTTAATTTTGTCACAGTGGTGCAAATCTGTATTCTCCCTGAACTTTGAAACTTGTTCGACTGACCAGTTACAAAATTGTGCCGTTGTTAGTAGATGGCAAAAAGTGATTTCCCCACCCCTAACACCTCTATACTCAGGGCTGTTTCCCTTGATTGAATTACACTTAAATATCATACTGTTTAGCATCCCTTCCATCTTTGTAGGGTTTTTTATTGCTGGCATTGCATACATCTCCAGAGTGCTTGCAGAAGGGACCACGTACCAGCAAATGAGGTGCAGAAGGTCAGTGTGGTGAACTGCTGTGGAAGGACAGCACCTGAAAGGGTCCAGACCCTCTACTCTTCCAAACCTACAGGTCTCTAGCTTTGGTTTCCAGACCCTGCATCTCATTGTATTTTCTTCTGCTGTATCAGATACTGTGTTCTTTGCCGTGTCTCAGTGTAGGCATTCTAAAGAATGTTCAGGTCACCTCTTTACTGTTCTTTTGCATGAGCAAAATATAAATGAGACAGTAAGAAAGTTCAACTTGAGGAAGGCTTTCTAGAGTTAAATACTGAACTATTTCTGTTTTTCACCATAGTTTTTTTTAATGTAAGTTCAGACTCCAAAACTGGACCCAGCATAGGTTACCAGGGTAGATGCATATTACAGTTACATATTGCCTTCCTGCTTCTGCTCAGAACCTCTTTGCTTAATTTCCCAAGATTTTCATGACCTATTTAGCTGCTGTGTTTTAACCAGTGTGTTTTAGCCATGGGGAGTTCATGCTCGGTTGTCTTACCCCTATTTTTCATTGCTGCTTTTTCAAAAATGCTGTTTATCTTTTGATGTGACTTCTTCCAAGATGGTGTTCCAATATTCAATTTGATCAAGTAATCTGTTGAGCTCAGCAGGACTGGCTGGTCCTCGGTGTTTTTCAGTCTTTTTGGCAAGCTGTGCTTAGCTATAGGAGATGCCCAGAAAAGCTCCCGGGTGAAGAGGTTAAGAGGAAAAAAAAGCTTGAGTTGGATATTTGAGAGGGGAAGGGAGGGAGAGAGAGATTGTCAGACTTTGCTGAGCAAAACCATTTACGTAACAAACGCCTCCCAGTCTTTCACTAAAAGCAGTATGTTTACATATTGAAAAAAGATAACTGTACTCCCGGGACATATACTTCTCCCCGCTTGTAGCAAAGGCCCCGGCGAAGGGGAGGACAGAGAGTCAGAGACACACACGTAAAGACACCTTAAATAAAAACAGTATTTTGTACCTTTGGTAGGAAAAGCAAGAAGGTTTTCATGGAGACTTTTGTATATTTATGCAAACCCCCACTTAGAATTCTACTGAAGTCTCTGGCAGGTAGAAACACAAAAATGGTGCTTGCAAAAAATGCAAGTCCTCTTCTCCTGCCTATTTCGCTGAAGCTTTGAAAGAGATTGCAGGTTAAAAAAACAAAATAAAACTGAACACACCCCACGTGCCCCCAACCAGTGCGGTTCATTAACCTGTTGTGAACTATCTAATGACTTAATGAATGACGTGATCCTTTTTTTGGCAGAAAAATAAGGCTTATCTGGGACCTTGATTTGCTGAACTTCTGTCCAGTCTCTAAGACTTCAACATTGTCTGGAAGCTATTACTGCTGCAGATGGGGCAAAGGATGGTAGGACAAGGTAATTACCTTCAGTTGAGCTAACTGCTCTTAAGCTGACAGGCTCTTCAGTTTGGGGCCAAAGGGCAACATGTTTTAGTTGAGTAGCTGGTACACTTTGTATGGTGGATTTACTCTAGATGGCTTCCAAAAACGGCATTCAAGTTCCAGCAGAGTGAATTAGTTTCCAGACATATTTTTTTCCTATAGCTCTTCTTAGGTTTCAGACAGACACACTTTTATGTTAGGGGCTGAAGCCTTTTTAAATATTTAAGGACGTTTATGCTACTGTTCTGTTACCTCTGATAATAAATTTTTCTGTGGTTTATGACATCTGTACTTAAACATCTTTGAAGCTTTTGCTGTGCAGAGCTTTGCAGACCTAGACTTTTGAAAGTTTTCAAAAGAAGCAAATTTACAAGTTATCTTCTGATCTGTATTCATGGAAGATGGTTTCAAAGTAACCACATGACTGCCTTTGCACCCAGGTATGTTTAATGCCTTTATGAAGTCCTGTTGCTTCCGTATGTTCTCCATACAGAAATTCAGACTTCAGATTACTATCCCGACTCCAGAAATGATATTTTTCTAGTCTCATATATATTCTTGAAGTATATCTTATTCTTTCCATAGGAAAGCTATTCTTCCTAATTTCATAAGTCATAGCATATTCATATTTAACTTTTTTTAATGTTATGGTCTGTGTTGTCACACTCCAGAACTGATGAGCTATTGTGAGAAGTTTTCTTAATGAGAAATTACTTTCTAAGGATTCTTTTATGGAAGAAGCATTTTGTGGTGAGTTCACCGTTAATGTACTTTCCAGTGAACTAACTTGAAAGTGGTATAATATGCTGTTAATTTTGAATGACCTATTATGAATACGTTACTTATTAAAGGAAGCTATTGTAGATAGTCTAAATGTTTTAGCCGCAGCAATGACACCTGAGTCTTAAATCTTCAGTGCTGCTGGAATTCCCCTTGGGTTTCTGTAGAGATGCAGACATCCAGGAATGCAAGAGCAGGTAGGTAGATGATGGTTTTCCAACTTTGATGAAGACTGATCTGTAGCATTGTTGGTGGATAAAAGTTTTTATCCCACAGCAGACTTCTGATCATGGCTTGCCCCCATGATCTTCCTGCCTTCATGGTCCTGAGAAACACAGTTAGTGGTAACCTTGAAAATACAGCGCTATACAGTTACTTTTTTTGTGCTTGTTTTATTGGAACAGAAAACGATCTTGTGTGTATCCACTGAAAATGTGTACTGGAAAGCAAATGCTATCCCTGGGGCTGTTGAGGTTTGTTTCAAGTTTTGCCCTTGCAATCGTAAGGTTCTGCAGTATGAGTGGAGCTGTATTAAGGAATAATCTGGTTCCTCTTCAGGTGTAGCTGCCGTGGCTGAAGAGGTTGCAGTCCCTAGCCGTTTGCTCAGAGCTCCTGCCAGAGGTCACCACAGAACATCGCTTCGCAGGTGCTATATTTTGCAGTCTGTTATGTCAGTTTAAATCCCTTGAGTGTTGTATCTCACCTGTCTTAAAAGGCCAGGCTGTGAACGAGGGGATGGGTCTGTGCATCCATGCGCTGTACCACGGCTGGCAGAGAGGTGGGAGGTATGCAGCTGCGGCCTTTCTGCTTTCCGCAGGTTGCAGCATCGGATTGCGTGAAGTCATCATAACCTGAGACTGAGCACAAAGTTACACTCTTGCTGTGCTGGGAGAAATGTCTCTGGTTCGGCTGCCTGTTGCTGGTAAGGAAAAACGATGTTTTGGCAAAGGCAAAACAATTCCTCAGAGGGGTTCTGCCTGCGCTGTGGGTTCAGCCGGTTACGCGCTTGAGGGCAAGTCAGCAGCAGAAAGCAGGAACGGGTTTCACAGTAGTACGGGAAGGGAGAAGAGGCAGCAGCTCACAGGGTGTGAGCGCTGTGGGCGCTCACTTCCCCTGTGCCATGTGGTGGGCAGCACCCATAGGTGCTCGGCCTCACCCTTGCAGCCCTGACGCTGCTTGTCCTGAGCGGCGGCAGCCATGACACTGTACTTCAGTCTTAAAAATATATTATTAAAAGGGTTATAGATAGAGTTGTGCTCAAACAGTTGTGTCCATTAAATGCACCGGTTCTTGTGCGACAATGAGAATCAACGTGTTTATTGCAGGAGGAAAGCCCTCGCTGATGAGCCGCAGCGTCACCTGGACATGGAGCACTCTGGCTGCCCGACTATAAATTTTAATTGTGTATTTTGCCTCCTGCTTTTTTTTTTTTTTTAAATCCTTTTCAACCAACAAACAGTAACGCCACAGAGCCGGAGCGCAGCCGCTGACAGCTGGGAACCTCAGCGCTGCCATGCTGTGCTGATGATGCATGGGCACTGTGACATCACGCCCTCCCGGCTGGGTGCGGCGGCCCTCGTCGGGAGGCCGGGACCAGGAGACAGCAAGTGCCAGAGGGGATGGAGGAGGAGGAGAGGGGTGGAAGAAGTGTCCTGTAAACTTTTTGCTTGAACGCGAATGGCTTTTGTGGCTCATCGGGGGGTGCTTTGTGGGCTTTATCTTTAAAAAAGGGAGTTCATGGCATGGTTTTGAATTCACATCATTGTTCCCTAGTTGGCTGGCCCCCCGACTGTGCCTTCCGCTGCCTAAAGGTGCAGAGGGGGGAGTAAAGGATTTGGTCACTGCAAATGGTAAATACCCCCTTTAAGTTAAAGGAATGTTTGGGAAGGGGTGGAGGAGGAGCGTTATTGATGGCATGGCAAGGGATGAGCAGCTGCGATCACGCCGTCAGTGTCAGACACTTCACACTGGGGCGGGGTAAACGCTCAGCTGAGGGGTTCTGTTTGTACAGATGAGAAGCCGTAAGCCAACTTGAGTGGGCAAAGATGCAGTCTTCAAAGATCAGGCTGGTAGTTCCACATGGCCTCAAGACCCTGCTTGAGGGGGTGAGCCGGGCTGTCGTGGAAAACAACCCGGATGACATTGCTGAGTTTTTCGCTCTCTATTTCCAAGAGCTCGTCACCTTTCAGAAAGGTTTGTTCCTACCAGTGCTTCATCTGAAGAGCTGAGCTATTTGAGAGTGCTATCCTACTCCAGCTTAATTTCTGCTTCTGTTTCCAGGGAATCCAAATCTGGATATAACAGAACTGGTTGAAAAGTTTGAGTTCGTTAGCGGTAAGATAGTTGCTGTTTGTTCTTTTAAGATCTTTTGAGACAATGTTCCAACTCAAATGGATGCACGTAGTTTTCACTTATCATGGGCTGCATCCCATCTGTATCTAGTCATGTGAAAGAGGCACGTAGGCTCTGAGCTATTGAAGAGGCAGGCATCTTCAGAAAGCACTTGTTTCTGTTTAATGTGGGAAGAATTAGTCCCCTGGGATGCTGTACTTTCTCCTTGAGTATAGGCGAAGAGCCTGGATGCTTCTGGTCATTTTAGTTTTAAGATATTGCAGTGCGATTTATCAACCCCTAAGCAGATAGCGACTTTACCCTTATCTATATTTTGCAAATAAATATTGTATCTCTTTGTTTATAAAAAGATGATTTACTTCTGTGGGATGCTGATTCCTTTGGGAATTGCTGGGAGCTTTCATCTGCTCCCTGGGTTTGGCTGTAAGGGCTGGAATCTGTGATGCCACATGAAGGTTTTGTGGGAGCAGTGATATGGGTGTGTTGTCTCGCCTGTTTGTATCTGCCCCAGTGGTTTGGGTCTCCGCTACCTGGTTACCGTAAGCGTCAGCAGCTTCAAATATCCCCTTTATTCAAAAAGGCCACCTGAGCTGGGTTCCAAGTAACCCTGGAACTAGCCAGCACTTGAGACAGCCTTGGTCTATAGATTGAGCGCCATACAGTAAGATGTAGAGCAATGTAGAGAAGTCCCAGCTATGGACAGAAAGTGCCTACTATCTTATTCCTAGCTTAGGATCTCCTCTGAAAAAGCTAACCACCACCGATTTCAGCACTTGAAGCAGTTTTCTTCTTGTAAAATGCCTAGTGGATATTGCAGTGCAACTTAAAGTATCACCAAAGGCTGAATTTTGGTGCATTTGCAAATGTTGCATTAATGATGTCACACAGCAGTTTTTGCATAATCATGGAATCATAGAATGGTTTGGGTCGGAAGGGACCTTAAAGATCATCTAGTTCCAACCTCCCTGCCATGGGCAGGGACATCTTTCACTAGATCAGGTTGTTCAAAGCCCCATCCAACCTGGCCTTGAACACTTCCAGGGATGGGGCAACCACAACTTCCCTGGGCAACCTCTTCCACTGTCTCACCACCCTCATTGTAAAAAAAATTCCTGATAACTAATCTCAATCTACCCTCTTTAAGTTTAAAACTGTTGCCCCTTGTCCTGTCAGTGCAGACCTTGGTAAAAAGTCTTTCTCTGTCTAAGTCCCCTTAAAGTACTGATAGGCTGCAATAAGGTCTCCCCGAAGCCTTCTCTTCTCCCCAGCTTTTCATCCACCAGTACCCCCAAGTCCTTCTCGGCAGGGTTGCTCTCAATTAGTTCCTCCTCCAGTCTGTATTGATATTGGGGATTGCCCTGACCCAGGTGCAGGATCTCGCACTTGGCCTTGTTAACGCCATGAGTTTTGCATGGGCCTGCTCTTCTAGCCTATCAAGGTCGCACTGGATGGCATCCCTTCCCTCTAGTATATCAACTGCACCACTCAGCTTGGTGTCATCCGCAAACTTACTGAGGGTGCACTGAGTCCAACTCTCTGTCATTGATGAAGATACTAAATAGTATTGGTCCCAGTGCAGACCCTTGAGGGATACCACTCATTTCTGGTTTCCACTTGGACATTGAGCTGTTGGCTGTAACTCTTTGGACATGGCCATCCAGCCAATTCCTTATCCATCAAATAGTCCGCCTATCAAACCCATCTCTCTCCAATTTAGCAGCCAGAATGTTGTGTGGGAGTGTATGCAAGGCCTCACAGAAGTCCAGGTAAGTGGTGCAGACCCTTGAGGGATACCACTCATTTCTGGTTTCCACTTGGACATTGAGCTGTTGGCTGTAACTCTTTGGACATGGCCATCCAGCCAATTCCTTATCCATCAAATAGTCCGCCTATCAAACCCATCTCTCTCCAATTTAGCAGCCAGAATGTTGTGTGGGAGTGTATGCAAGGCCTCACAGAAGTCCAGGTAAGTGGCATCCGTAGCTCTTCCTGTGTCCACTGATTGTCACTCCAGTTTCCACTTGGACATTGAGCTGTTGGCTGTAACTCTTTGGACATGGCCATCCAGCCAATTCCTTATCCATCAAATAGTCCGCCTATCAAACCCATCTCTCTCCAATTTAGCAGCCAGAATGTTGTGTGGGAGTGTATGCAAGGCCTCACAGAAGTCCAGGTAAGTGGCATCCGTAGCTCTTCCTGTGTCCACTGATGCTGTCACTCCATCATCAAAGGCCACTAGATTAGTCAGGCATGATTTGCCCTTGGTGAAGCCATGTTGGCTGTCTTCAGTCACCTCCCTGTCTTCTGTATGTTTCGATGTATCTTCCAGGAGGATCTGTACCATGATCGTACCGGGCGTGGGGGTGAGGCTGGCTGGTCGGTAGTTCCCAGAGTCCTCCTTATTCCCTTTTTCCAGTCACTGGGGACTTTGCCTGACTGCCATGACTTTTCAAATACGATGGAGAAAGCGGCTGCGTAATGCAGAAACTTTCTGTCTGAATGCCTGTCAGTGGTTTGCTTATGTGATTGTGAACTGACCCCTGCATGTTCACCATGCTCCAAAACAGGTCCCTCTTGCACCTTTTTCCTTACAGACCACTTAATCCCTCTCCTTCTGTGGTCTGCTGTCCCCTACTGTGTGGTCACATAACTGTGTTATGAAAGAGAATGATCAGAGAGGAATTCCTTAGCAAGCTTGAGCAAGGTTTCCTCTGGAGTCTCCCACCCACAGTGCCAGCACGGGTTTTGGGACTGTTTGTGCACCAGCAGGTAGCTAGCTTGTTTGTGGAGCTGCAAGGGAGCCTTTTCTGCGTCATTGCCCGACATTGGTTTATAAATGGGTCTGTGTTGGCTTGGGATGGCAGTCAGAATTATGTTTTTTCAGAGAGGATTTAGCTCTGTCACCCTTTGAGTTATATTTCTCTCATAATTTCTGATCTCATCCAGTCATGACTTCAGAAAACAGCTCAGCGCTGAGCTGTGGTGATGTATTGAAGACTCACCTTCTTTGCTGCTGCTGTGCTGGTTTTACATATTGGCCAACGCTTGCTGATCATGATAGAAACCAGACCTCTTGGTTTGGTGGGTTTCTTTCCAATGCTGAGGGTTTTATTAACCATGTGATGGAACACTGTTTTGATCCCATGGGTACTGTCTTGTGTTCCTCCCTTGATAACTAATCTAGAAGCTGTTTTTCACTCTATCTAAAATTTGTTCATGGCTTACCCTGTTCATTTGGATACCTGTCAGTTCAACTAATCAAGATTCTTGAGGAAGCTAAAATGTCACCATCTACGCAGCTAAAATACCTTGTATGGATCCAAAGAGTTCTGAGGTGTTGCAAAGAGGAGCCGTGGTCTTCTAGCTGGCTTATCTGATGTGCTTAACACAAAAGGTTTAATCTTTTAACCCGTAAGTGTAGCATGTGTTTGGGCGCAGTAGATAAGAATGTAGCCATCACTGCAGGATCATGAATGCAGTTAAGGCTTCCTAGATTTTGAAGTGGTACCACTGCTTTCTGAATTTTTTTTCCCCTTTATTGATAGGCAAGCAGCAAACCCCCTCCTTGAATTATTCCATCTCTGCAACCCGGGAAGCCTCATAAATGTGCTGTAGAGCATCTAATTGAGTTGATGCTGAAATCACTCTTTATTTAAATGGAAACAGGAGCTCATGTATTGCCATTATGTGCTTTTTACCTTGCAGAAAATGGAAATGAGGGACTGGAAGAGAAGACAGCCGAGTACACAGATACTTTGTTTTCTGGGGAGCCCAAGCAAAGGGACAAGTGTACTGACACAGAGGAAGACCAGCTCCTTGAAGAACCTGATATTCAGTATAGCTCCAAAATAACTCAACACCCATCAATTGCCAGTTCCATTGCAGAAAGCAAATTGCCCCCTGGATCTGATGGAGCTTCATCCCCTGAGGGACCTGAACTGGTGTACGTCCCTGCTGAGCCTGCACAGCTTGCTGCCCACGTGCTAGGTAACAGTGATTCTCTTTATTCTGTGAGGGATGTGGCAACCAGTGTGCAGACTCTTTATGAAGACTCTCAGATCTCGGAGAATGAATTTACACCAGTAGAAGGTGCTGCTGAAGATGCTTCTGCTGTCCCAGCAGCCGAGGATTCTGTAGAGGCTCTTAGGTCACAACCAGGAGTGTGGAGCCAGTCCTCCATAGATGGAGAACTAGGTCCTTCAGACAGCCAGGCTGATGTCTCAAAAAATGATGTAAATCAAGCTTCCTTGGTCCCCTTGTGGGAAGAACCATCACCTCTTTCACCACCACCATCACCTGCTCCTAAAGATCCATTGCAGGCTGTGCCTTCCTGCAACGAAGCTGAGGCTACCCCAACCACTGAGGTTGTATCACTGTGTTGGGATGATGAGCTGATTATGGATGCAGAGGTTCCACCTTATGTAGAGCAGTTTCCACAGAAAATAATCATTCCCTTTGTAGACCAAACAGCTTATCTGTTAAAGATTGAGCAGCCATTAAATGCAGGCCAGGGCTCAAGTGCTACAACCTTAGGTCCATCTGCTGATGATTTAGTGTGCCATCCTGAGAGAACGGAATCTACAGCACAAGTGGAATCAGCTGAGCAAGCTTATGTCTTGTCAGGTAAGAAAGTTTGGGTCTTTGTGTTGTCTTCCTGTTCCAGCTTTCAGCTCTACAGCGTCATCAATGGTCATTAAATGGAAAAGCACCTACATCAGTGCAACACAGGGTAGAGATGACTTCTAAGAAACTACTGTACTGCTTGGCCCCAGTGCACATGTGTTAGATCTCTCTGCTGTCTGTTCCAAGAGATGCGGCTAGCTCTGGGCAGGAGTCCTGCGCTTCTGTGGGCAAATATGCCGATAAGAGTGATGGGAAGAGGTGCCCATTGATGCCAAATAGTCTTGCTCAAAACAAGCCGTATTTTCTGAAGCAGGTGTTAGAGACCTAAGATGTAATACATGTGCCCTGTGGCTGAAGAGAGGTGAACAGTTGGAGCCCTGGTTTTGATTCTCCTCCCCTGAAAGATCTCATATTCCAGCACTGACCTAAGAGGTTTTCTATTTAGAAAAAAAGTAGTGGTGGTGGTTGCCTGTGCTGTGTCTTGAGCTTGGTGAGTTTCTGCAGCTGGGCTGAATGGGCTAAGCACTGGTCATCAATTCCACAAACAGCAAGAGAGCTGGTGCTCATCTTTCTTGTTGAGGCCCTCACCAGCATCTCTTCCCTGTGGTGACATGTGCCCAGCTGGAGAAACCCTCCAGGGTGGAGCTCCCCTGCCTCGAATTGCCCTAGTACTGCAGAGTCTGCTCATGCCCTGTCCTAGGCCCTGGGAGAAGTAGTACAGCTGTGAGGTCTCAGCAAAGCATTTTGCAGAGGAGAGCTGAGCTTAAGCAGATTTGTAAATTAACATTGGCTCTTTTAAAAAACAAACAAACAAACTTTAAGGGGAGTTTGACAAACTTCAGTTTCAGAAATACCAGACAAATGCTTACCCAGAAGAGCCTCTGCTCTGACCATAAACATTTACTTTTTCTAGGCTGCAGGTGTTTGTCAGCCACATACCAAACAGTGTTTGCTATCCCAGCTTTCTTCTCTAACATGCTTGCTTTCACCAAGTGTAGGTATGTTTGTTTTAGACATTCACTGCTTCTGATACCAGCACTCTTATTTTTATCCTTGTAGCCATGGCATCAAGTGAAGCAGGACAGCCACCACCACATTCTAATGTGTGGACCCTCTATTGCCTAACTGACTTGAGGCAAGGTCAAAAATCACCACCATCCCTTTCTGCTGCTGGAGCTGGTGTTCCTTATTCCCAGGCACCCCTCAGTCTTTCCAGGGGGGAAGATCAACAATGTGGTCAGCTGTCACAAGTACCTGCTCCAATTTATGTGATACAAGAAGCAAGCAAGAGGAGAGATGCTCCACCTTTCATTTTAGTGGGCTCTAATGTTCAGAACATACAGGATTGGAAACCTATTCCTGGCCATGCTGTCTTTGCACAGCAGGATGCAGGTGCTAGGAGGAGATTGACTACAGTCCCTGTCCCAGTTGCCAGGCTGGCTGATGAGAAAACAGATATGGCCAGCCTCAATTCTAGTTCTGCAGAGGAAACTGTGGCTAAGCCATGCACACCTGGTGTTTTCTCAGTTGCCATCCCTCTGGATGATGCGATGTCTGCAAAGAAAGGCTCGCCAGCTGGTCATAAGCACACAGGTATAGATGCTCTTGCAGAAAGCTATGGTACTGCAGGATAGATTACCATTACATCAGATGTAATGGTACAGAGGGAGATGCATTTGGCTTTTAAAAGCTTAATTTAACCCTTTTCAAAATAAAGTAAGGTTTAAGACCAGTGGTTAAACTACTTGTCATACATAACAGACCCAATGCCTTCCTCTGCTTGTTATGCTTTGCAATTAGTAGTACTAATCTTGCTCTGGTTTTAGTCTAAAGAAACCAAGTTTTTAATCTTGCATTCATACACATCTTGAACCCTTAAAGTTAAGGCTGCAGGCATAGTGTAATATTCAGCATGTTGCAAAATACCCTCAACTTAGAGCGCGTTTAGGTAGCGATTAATGTAGTTCTTGCTACATACTTTCTACTGAGTTCACATTTTTTAAACAGGTTGAGAAGAGAGACTGTTTGGACTTCAGGAAGAGTTCAGGAGCAATGGAGTTTACATTGTAATAAATCAAATAATGCAAATGCTCCAGAAAAGCCAGCAATTAGAACTGTATTCCCATGCATTTTATACTTTCCTAAGACAACATTTAGGATGTTGTGCTAACTTTGTGTGAATTATGACCACTGAAACACATCTGCTGCAGTCGTTTCATTGCAGAGTAGCCCAGCTGCTTCACTGTGCTAACATGGTGTATGCATAAGCCCCAGTGATATTGACAGATCCCGTACAGAGACAAAGTCAGTTCAGTGTAACCAGGTGTAGTCTATACTGCTGGGGATATACTCTAGGAAGGAACTGTACACAAGTGTCAGGAGCAAGAGGACAACTCCACAAGAGGAGGGAATTATTCTCACACATGGTCAATTCAAATTACAGCAGGAGGCCAGCTGAGGTTATGCTTCAAGGAAGGGGTTAAGAAAAAGTACCTTTACTTTGCTTTAGAGGTTTCACAACTGCAGCTATGGTCAGTTAAATATGCCAGACTCTTGAAGTATGAATAGGTCTAGGAAAAAAAAAAATCTGTTCTTATGAAATAGAAGGCACTCAAAATAAAAAGAAAAGTTGATGCTGTGTAGAGGTTTCCCCCTCTTTAACCTGGGAGGGCAGGCAGGAACTAAATGCTTTGGTTTTCCTAGCACTAAGCCTTCAGACCCAACAGCTAGACTGTTTCTACCTACCTATCCCAGAACCCCACTTGAAGTTGCACAGGAATTAAGACAGACTTCAAGAAGTGCTGGCCAGCATAGTGGCTCGAGTGCAGAGATGAGGCTTCGAAGAGATAGTGCAGGTATTCAATTTCTTCCTCTACAGGTTGCCTCACATGAAAGACTGCCAAAGAAAAGGCTTTCCCTTATCTATGCAAATATGTCCCAGCATCACTACCTGGCTAATTCTAGTAGTGCGCAGAATAAAAATAGAAAGCATCTCATTGCCTTATTCACAGTTTCAGTAGTCCACCCTCAAGGCTAGAGCTGCAGCCTCACTGCATATGCGAGGAGAAAGCCCACAGTTCCCCAGCCCTCCCCACCCTCCCATAAGCAGGCTGTCCCTGCTTAGGGGAAGAGAGGTCCCTGAAGCACATGGAAGCACACTGTGCAACTTCATTGCAGCAGCTTTTGGAGTAGGCTTGCTCAGAAAGGGTCAGCACTGTCCAACACCACTCACTTTAGACTAGATGCAAGAAGTTTTGAAGCCTTTATTTAGTAGCAATTAAATTATTCAATTAACACTAACCTCCAGACACCAGTTAAAATATTGTACAAAGAGCAGCTTGCCCTCTAGAAGCTCTGTACACAGTTCGATATAAACTTACACTCTAAGATTGAATGCACCCCACTGAAAAGGGGTAAAGCAGCTGTGCACAGGAGGCCTCGCTGAGGTGCTGTACTACCTTTGAAATGCACAAGACTTCCTCCGCAGGAGTTTGCACAGTACAGACACAGGTCCTGTCCCCCCCGCCATGTTCCACCGGGTCCTGGACTGATTAGGTTCTCATCTTTTTGCAGTGGTGCTGGGCACCGGAACTTCTAGTGCATGAAACAGGTTCTTTTAAAACCTGTTACTAGTGTGCAGTTCAAATCAAATCCATAGATATTTAAATGGCTCTTAATTCCTTAAACCGTAAGGTTGGTAGCAAAACAGGAGAGCAAAATTCAAAACACACTGCACAAAAACATGGAATAAATACCTCTGAGTAATGTTACCAGCTTAAACAACTGCATTAATGCTCCAGAAACGGGAACGCTTCTGGAATCTCTGACCAGAGCTCAGGATTTAAGGGAGTTACTTTAGTAAAAGAAAAGTCACTTTATGAAAAATTACATCTTTACAAAAGTGACACACCCTTCTTCATTTAAGAACAGAATATTGCAATTACTGTGTGTGCTTTTAAACATTCCCATGTCACAATAAATAAAACCAGTTTTACTTGTGCCAATGTTATCTACGAAAGAAGGTATTCACAGAACAGCCGCGGGCGTTCTATTCCTCATACACCACAACCTAATATAGGTGTATTCAGCAAACAGGGCAGCTCGAAACCATGGCGACTTACTTCGTCCACACAGGACCCACCATCAGCCAGAAAAATTATTCCCCTACCTATGGGACTGCAGACCGTGTACCACCAGATTTACTGTGGAGATGCTTAATACTCTGATAACATGTCAGTTTTTTCAGCAGATAAGTAAAACAAGGGAAAACATTAAAACAGATTAAGACTTCTTTGTATCAGTCACAGGCTCCTTATTGCATTTTAATAAATATCAGGCAAGTTAAAGTAGTTTCTGTCCCAGTAGTTGCCAGAATAAAGCCAGTCCTGCGTACCAGTATAGGGATTGGGGCCTTGGTGGAACCATCTGCAAGGAAACATAAAGCATGTTAGCGAAGCTATCAACACACACTTTTATGGAAGTTCAGAACTGCTTTGCTGCACCTTCGGCAGTTTACTGTTCAAAGTAATTATTGTGATTGCAGGAGCCCTCTTGGTTTTAAATTCATGAGTCAATTTAAAGTCATCTTCAGTGGCTAGATCTCCCCATTTGCCACACCGCTTAAATGTCTCCTAGGTGAAATGACTGACACCAGTATTTTGTCACGTGAAGCAGTCAAGGCTATCACATAAAAAAGGACAGTACGGTTTTACTTCAAAGCAGTTGTGAACAATCATTTTGGCATGCATAAGCAGTAACAGTTTTTGCAAGACATGTAAACACCACAAGCACTGCAGTCCTGAAAACAGAAAAACATTATTTCCCAGGGATCTAGGTTTCCCCTTGTTTTTCAAAGCCTTGTTTTGGAACGCACTTAACTCAGAACAAGCGTGCCGGCTACCCTCAGTGTAGATGACGTATCACCCACAGGCTGCAGGAAAAGTCCTGGCTTATTACAACGTAACTGTGTTGCATTACACCGTTAGCACAGGGGCTAATCTGAATAGCCAGAAAGCTGATTCCGTCTGCATGAAGTTTTGCTAAGCCGGTTGTTGCTAGGAACACTGAAGTTTAGCACCTTCTTTCTTTCCTTCCCTCTCCCCTCCTACCCTAATC